CCCGCCGCCCCTTACCAGGTGCCGCCCCAAGCACGTGCTTGGGTGCCTGGTGCCTGGAGCCGGCCCTGGGCCAGTGGAGACATTTTTTGAATGTGTAAAATTAGACGTGAGGTACAATTATATAATTTAAATTGCAGTTCTAGTCTGAAGAATGACATTAAAAGTGGCTTTATGGGTTCTATGTTAATTATCTGAAAGGCTTCGGTATCAAGTGAATTCACTTTACGAGTGAACAGATAGAATTTCTAACTGCCAGCCTTGCAGCCTCAGCCTTCCACTTTTGCGCCTGTTCACCAATAATAAAGTTTCTGCAACTGGCAATTTGTTGTACCACTGGACTCTGACTCACTCTCGCATAGCTGTGTTGGCTCTCCAGAGCTAACAGGAGGAAAAAGGAATAAAAAATTAGTTAGGTCACTAAAGCCAACAAATCTGATCTTATACACACAGTGTTGTGTACAGTAACTCCTCGCTTAACGTTGTAGTTATTTTCCTGAAAAATGCGACTTTAAGCGAAACGATGTTAAGCGAATCCAATTTCCCCATAAGAATTAATGTAAATAGAGGGGGTTAGGTTCCAGGGAAATTTTTTTCACCAGGCAAAAGACTATATATACACACACACATATACACAGTATAAGTTTTAAACAAACAATTTAATACTGTACATAGCAATGATGATTGTGAAGCTTGGTTGAGGTGGTGGAGGAAGAGGGTAGGATATTTCCCAGGGAATGCCTTACTGCTAAATGATGAACTAGCATTGGGCTGAGCCCTCAAGGGTTGACACGTTGTTAATGTAGCCTCACACTCTACAAGGCAGCACGAATGGAGGGAGGGGAGACAGCATGGCAGACAGAGACACACACCGGGTGTGTGTGTGAGAGAGAGACATGTATTGCCCCTTTAAGTACGCTGATCCCACTCTAAATACACTGCCTTTTTAAGTAGATCAGCAAGTTGAGACAGCAGCTGCTGCCAGCAAGCTCCCTCCATCCTGAGCCCTGCCATGTCCTCCCCTGCTCTGTGGAGATGGGGTACAGGAGCGGGGGGCAGGGGGACACCCTGACATTGGACCCCCTCTTCCCCCCCCCACCACTGCACAGCAAGCAGGAGGCTCCCGGGAGCAGCTCCAAGGCAGAGGGCAGGAGCAGCACACGGCAGTGGGGGGAGGGACAGGTGAAGCGCCCAGCAATTGATAGCCTGCTGGGCGGCTCCTGCACAGGGAACTTAGGGGAGCGGGGAGCTGATAGGGGGGCTGCTGGTCCACCCTGGTTCCAAGCCCCCACCAGCTAGCTCCAATGGGCTGCTTTTCCTGCAAGCAGTGGACAAAGCAGGCAGCTACCAAACAACGTTATAAGGGAGCATTGCACAACTTTAAACCAGCATGTTCTCTCATTGATCAGCAACGTAACAACAAAACAACGTTAACCGGGACGACTTTAAGTGAGGAGTTACTGTATAAAGAAATGCCATTTTCAAAGTCACTCTTCTGGCTCTTTAAGATGCTGTCAAAGCGTGGGTTCCTAAATCAGGGGGCCCAGTTCTGCCTTTAGGTGCTTCATACGCTCTCATTGACTTTAAGGCCAGAAGGGATCACTGTGATCATTTCGTCCAATATCCTGTGTGACACAGGCCACAGAATTTCATCCACTGATTCATGCAGCGGAGGAAATAATTCTTCCCTACGGTGTGAGTGAATAGTGTTGAGCCTAATCACTTGTGGCTGAACTAGAGTGTATGTTTTACAGAGGCATCCAATCTCAATTTAAAGACTCCAAAGGATGATGAATTTACCACTTCCCTTGATAAGCTGTTCCAGTCTTTAATCACCCTCGCTGTTAAAAAGCCTGGCTTTCCACTTTCGGTGCCTTCTTGCTATTTAAGCATCCAAGTGGTGCACTGATTTGTAGGCCTTATTTGAAAATTGAGCCCTGTTCCTTTAACTGTAATGATTTCTTTCCCCAGGGCATTGCCGGAAACACAACTCTCTCGAATACACTCCTCATGCCCTTGTCCAGCCCACTGCTGTGACCCTGACCTCTGACCCCAACAACTGCCCCAGATGTCACAGGGTGCAGCGTGAGGCAGCCCGGAGGCTCTCCATCCTGGACAGTGCTGATTCGGACCAGGAGGAAGGAGGGGCCGGCGAAGAGCAAGGAGAAGGAAGAAGAAGAAGTGAGGGTGCCGCAGATCTGGAGAAGGAGGAAGAGGAGGGGGAAGAGGGCGGATGGCTGAGGCTCTGTGGTGACCTGTGGCGAGAAGTGAGGGTCAAACTAAGGGGGATTGTGGACAGCAAGTACTTCAACCGTGGGATCATGATAGCCATCCTAATAAACACCATCAGCATGGGCATTGAGCACCATGAACAGGTAACACACCCTTGTGGGGAAGTGGGCACCTTAAACCCTGTCAGCCACAATAATATCCAGCAACTTAGAAGGGGGGGCGGGGGTGGCTCTAGCACTGTGGGTTGCCTGTGGTAGAATCAGGCAGCATGGGCCTGCCAAACCACATGGTCTAGACCTGAGCTGCATCCAGTGGTGGGTCTCCATGGGCAGCATCCAAAGTTGAATGACCCAGTGAGGACCTGAGGAGAGGCTCTTTGGTCACTTCCTCTTGACATTAAATCTCTCCTCTCCCTCCTGTTATTATTGTTTATTGAGTGCCAACAGTGCGCTCGATGTTGTATAAATCTCTTAAGGAGACATGGACCCTGCCCCGAGGAGCTTACAACCTAGCGGAGGTGGAGAGAAAACAATTTGGACACGTGATAGCGCATGGGTTGCCCTCCTGGGTTTGAGATGGAGTAAGGACCGTGCAGGGGCTATCCTGTGCCTGTTTCTGCACTCAGTCATGTTGGCCATGGCCATCTTTTTTTCCTTTCATCTCCTTTTGTTCCTTCTGTTTCTCCCTCCCTGATCTGTTTCATCCCCTACTTTTCTTTCTCTCCTTGTCTCCTTTATCCCTCTCTTTTCCCTTGTCTTTTCCACTCCCCCATCTCTCTCCCTCATTTCTCTCTTCATTAGCTGACTGAATCCTTAGTCTGTTTGGTTTAGTTTAATGTGCTCTCTAGGGATGTCACAGAGACTTCACCAGCATCTGAATTCAAATCCACCAGCTAGCTAGACTTTCCAGCTTAATTAAGAGATGCACAAGCACAGTCTATCTCTGGAGAAGGACTGAGGAAAGCTGGTGAGTCTTGTGGTTACTACAACCAAGAATCTTCCCATTCCCTTTGGGGGGGCCTGAGCCCCTCTGTACGTCTGGCAGCATCAATTAACAGGTGGATCATGGCATGGAAAGCAAGTATCTATCTAGGTATGTGTATAGCTGTCATCACTAGAGGTCTCCAAGCACCTCACAGTCATTAATGGATTTTATCCTAACAGCACCCCTGTGAGGTAGAGAAGGGTTATCATCCCCTTACAGATGGGGAACTGAGGCACTTAAGTCCCCTGCCCAAAACCACACAGGAAGTCTCTGGCTGAGCCATGAATTGACCTCCAAGGCTCCTCAGTCCTCGTCCAATACCCTATCCACTAGACTGTGTTTCGTACCCTAGCCAGTCTCTGATAGGAGTAGGAGTAGCCACAGTTTGATACCAGAGTAAAAACTGCTCTGGGCACCTCAGTACCAGAAAAATGCTGTTGAGCTGCAGGGAGCTCAGAGGCGAGCAATACAAATTACTAGGAGACTGGAGGGACTGAATCATGAGAAAAGATTAAAAGAGCTAAATCTGTATCACTTAGCTAAACTATGACTAAGGGGTGAGGCTCAGGACAACATGATCACTGGCCACAAGTGTTCAAAGGGTGTAAACACCAATCAGGGAGAGGAATTGTTCAGGGTCATTGGAGGGGGTATGACTAGGAGCAATGGAATGAAATTTAGCAAAAGGAAAATCTGAGGTGGAGATAAAGAATTCTTTCTCAGATTCTTGGGTTCTAAGCTCTTCAGGGCCATATCTTCCTGTGTATTGGTACAGCACGCAGCACAATGGGTGTTACCATAATATAAATAATAAATACTATTAATAATACCTTCCTGAAGTGACATTTATTAAGCTATTGACTGATCTGCCCAGGGTACTGATAGAGACCCCATCACCTAAATTGTCTAAAAGTGGACTGAGACAAAGAATTGTGAAGTCCTGAATTGGATGTGGGATGGAGATTGGACTACATGTGACCAAATCGGTGTTTTCCATCTCTAATTTCTATGATTCTCCAGTTACTGTTAGGTTACTTTGATGTAATTTACAAATATGACCAGACTAGAGAAAGCTCTCTAATATATTTATAAGGTACTTATCACTCTGATATCTGAGTACTGATATATGGGGCTGGTCTTATGATCCCACAGAGAGTCACCCCAGTAAGATTTCGGCATAGTTGCCAATTTAGACCTGGGGGGAGAAATTCCCTGTATGGACAGGTCATCTGATACATTACAAGTGTTCTTGCACCTCCTTCTGAAGCATCTAGTGCGGGTCCCAGTCAGAGAGAGAATATTGGACTAGATGGACCCTAGGGTCTTATCCAGGATAGCAATTCCTTTGTTCAAGTAAGGAAGTGTGTGTGTGTGTGTGTGTGTGTGTGTGTAAGTCAAGACCAAACAGCTGCTCTCCTTCATCCCAGCTCCATCATCTGATCATTGGGGGAGGGGGGCTCCAAATGAAATCAGCTTCCCTCAGCATAGAAGTGGACTACATTGTTTCACACATCTGCTTAATCCTAGTAGGGAGAGAGGGTTCACTGCTGTGGGAATCTGAATCAGATAGTTTCATGGATTTGGAAAGAAATCCAGATTCAGGATAGACAAACTAGTTCTGATACAAGAAAAAGTGACCTGAACCATAACCCCCCCCCCCATTCACATCTGACTGCTTCCTTCCCCTTTCCCCGCTCGGGCCCCAACACTCCATACTTAGGAAAAGTTCAGTTTAAGTGTTTCTTCCCAATGCTCATGCGTGAGACTTGTGCATTCTCTGGGCTGGCAATCGTGTGTGAGAGACAGAGAAAACAGGCTTCTGCGCTGGGGAGATTTCTGATACTCCCTGCTTCTGGCTAGGCAAGAGATCCATTGCAGACCTTTCCTCATGGCTTTGTCAGTTTTTCTGACTCTGGAAAGAGCCAGGAAGCCTGGAAATCACTCAAAAAGGAAAGTGGAACTATGTTTTTGTTAAACCCCCAAAAAAGTAGTGGGGAAAAAATGGCAGGCTGCTATTTATTTGATCCAAAGCAGTTTTCTACAACCCTGCGTTAATCAGTTGGTTGTGGTTATTTGTGTGGGAGCAGCCGGAAGGAGAGTGACTAGCTTCCTTTCAGCCTCCCCACTCCGTCAAGATTACCCTTCCTCTGCCAGAGAGAAACTCCCTCCCCCCCTCACACACACACTCTACCCCAGCCATCAGCTGTGTCCGCTGTCAGTCACAGTTAAGCTGAAAACCCATGATGGTATTGCTAGTCCCAGATGTGTTGGAAACTCCTCTTAGAGGATGGGGGCCTCTAGCCCCCTCAGCAGCACCTTGGGCTCAATGCTAATGGTTCTTTTCACTCTGGCTAATTATCTGTCTCTCCAGAAATAGCTGCAATGCAGGGTCTTTCTTTGCTCTAGGAGTGTGTTGCCTCAGGCCTCATGGATCCAGCTGGCTCCTCTCCCTCCCTTTATCTCCTTTTCTTTTTTCTTTTTCCACTTCTTCTTTAATCTTTCTCTGTATCACTCTTTCTCTTCTGTCCTCTCTCTTTTCTCTCCTATTCCTTCACCATCTCTCCTTCTTCCTTTTTTTGGCGGTATGGAACTGTTTTGTTTTTTCCTCTTTCCTTTTCTCCCCTTATCTCACCCTTCCTGTTCCCCCCCCCCCTTTCCCTTCCTAACCCTCTCTCTGGGAAGAATGCTTGGGGGAAGGAAGTGAGTGATGGCCCATAGAAAAAGATTAACAGGTGTGGGCTTCACTAGAGAAACAGATGTCAGGGAGGGGAGGAGGGCTGGAGAGAACAGGTGACCTTTTCCTTAAGAGAGATGCAAGCATGACTTTTAAAACATCAGTTGCACCCTACAAGACAGCGAGAGAGCAGATGCGTGGACAGCAGAGAGAAGGCTAATCCACCATTATACCCTGTCGTATTTTTACATTCTTCATCCGCATTGACATAGTCATTTGATTCATGCTGAAATTGGTGTCTCTGTTTAGCATATGGGCCTCTCATTCCCTGCTAGTGTCATTACTGCCTGGCTTTGAGGTTATCTTCATCTCTCTCCTCCCTGTACTCTCTCTTTCTCTCTCTCCCTAGTTTTTCAGGACCTGTTTTGTTATTCAAATGTAATTATGGATGGAAGTTGAGCCTCCCCCCTTTTATTTTGATTTTAGAGAAACTGGCAGTGTATAAAATTCTGTGGCATGGGGAGAGCCTGCAATTTCTTCCCCCAGCCAGAATGAAATCAAAGCCAGGTCCTAGTGAAGAAGGGGAAAGGTAGAGGTGCTGAGAAGAGAAAGGGTTGAGTGAAGAAGTGGTTTTGATCAGCATGTGTCAAATGCGGTACAGGCACACAGATGGTTGGGGGTGGGGGGCTGGCTTCAGTAACTGGAATGAAAGCTCAGTTAGAAAAGGACATGGAGGGTATGGTTGTGACGGGCTGCACCCCTTGGGATGTCACCTAGTGTGCTGGGACGCCACTGAGTCAGACTGTTCTGCCAGCCTGGGCCCCCTTTTACCTGGTCTTGGCTCCCCAGCCTTTTCCAGCCAAGCACACAGGCAGGGCCACGCCCAGCTGCACAGAGAGACAGAGATCCGCTCTGGGAAGGCTCAGTTTAAGGGGCTTGCCACAGCCCCCAGATGTCCACCCCCCCTTGGAATACAAACCCAAAATTATATGAAATTCGTCTTTTCCCTCAATGTGGAGTAGGGTATGCACAACTCCTCATCCCCCAGTTAGAAATCACATAAACTGGGTTATATTATAAACCAGAAATAAATGTATTGACTATAACAGGTGTATTTTAAGTAGTCAAGGGGGTAGCAGACAGAAAAAAGCATATTACTAAGAAAATAAAACAGAGCATGCAAACTAAGCTTAATACACTAAAGAAGCTGCTTACATGTAAGTTCTCACCCTAAATGTGGTTCTAATAATCTTCTTGACAGACCAGACGCCCTTACAGCCTGGGTCCAGTTTTTCCCCCCAGTTCAGTCTTAGTTGTTTCCAGCAGTAATCTTGGGTAGGGCAGCAGGGGAGAACTGATGACCTGGATTACCTCACTCCCCGCTCTTAAATAGGATTTGCGTAAAGCGGGAGTCCTAGTTTGACCACCCCCTACCCCCAGCTTCTTGTGGAAAAGTACAGAATTCAAGATGGGTTCCAGTATCAGGTGACATGGTCACATGACTCTGTAAGGCCCTTGTAGCTATTCTTCACAGGCTGCCCCACAGGTTCACAGGAAGACTAAGCTCTTTTACAGTCCATTGTCTCTTGCTGATGGGCCATCAGCACTGTCCGGCTTTTTCATTGTTATACCTGAAGTGTTAGCAGGGGGCGTCATCCAAAATAACATAGTTGAAATATAGATACATAGTCAATATTCCTAGCTTCGGATACAGAAATGATACAAGCATACAAATTGGATAATCGCATTCAGTAAATGATAACCTTTCCAATGATACCTTACATGAGCCATCGTGCATAAAGTATATCTGTTATGTCATATTCGTATCATAAGCATATTTCATAAAGAATATGGTTGGGGTGGCTTCAGTAACTGGACTGAAAGCTCAGTTAGAAAAGGACATGGAGGGTACAGTGACTTGGGAGCAGGCTCCAGTCCATTCATTTACTTGGGATAAGAACAATCAGAGTTGGATTCTTGTGCCTCCTGGAATGGACTCTAGGTGCAGCCCGTGGGAGGAGGCAGGAGGGAAAGAACCAGAACTGGATTACTGTGTGTGTGTGTGAGCACCCCTTCCCCCAATGTACTGCTGATACAGCCTGTGGGGAAGGGAGGAGACTCCATTATTTTCTTAGGCTTGGTCTACACTTACCCCCCAAGTCGAAGTAAGGTACGCAAATTCAGCTACGTGAATAACGTAGCTGAATTCGACATACCTTACTTCGAACTTACCGCGGTTCAGACGCGGTCCACACGCTGCAGGCAGGCTCCCCGTCGACTCCGCGGTACTCCTCTCGTTGAGCTGAAGTACCGCAGTCGACGGCGAGCACTTCCTGGTTCGATTTATCGCGTCCAGACCAGACGCGATAAATCGAACCAGGAAGTTCGATTTCCAGCCGCCGAACTAGCGGCTAAGTATAGACCAGCCCTTAATTTAAGCACCCTTCCTTTAAAAGGATAGTAACCCTGCCATTGTCATCATCAATAAAAAAGGTGAGTCAATGAGTCTCCTCCACACGGAGCACTATGGGGCAGTGCTGACTTCAGTGGAGAACGTTTGCTTAGGCCTTGGTGGAGTCCCCATCTCCATTCCTGATGGGCTCCCCTAATTTCACATGTGCCTGTCCTCTCTTATCACCACCAGGGGGCGCCAGCAGTCTCTCTGTCACTAATTTTGTGTGATGTCAGAAGTATGACCTGGCATTTATGGGTAGCTCAGCCCCACATGAAGAAAGAGGCTAGCCACGTGACCAACTTATCCAAGTGGATCTGTGATGGACACCCGACGTGTGGGGACCTGTGTACACTAGAGAGTGAATGCTGCTGCCCCCTGGTTGATAGAATGTGTTAGGCTTGCTCATGTCAGTTCCCTCTAGGACTGGACTAGGGGAGCTGCTCCTTTAGGGATGGAAGGGACGGGAGCGTGGGTGGAATCAGACTTCAGATATGTAACCCTATCCTGGGGTATGTCTATACTACCTGCCGGATCGGCAGGCAGCGATCAATCCAGCGGGGGTCGATTTATCGCATCTAGTCTAGACGCAATAAATCGACCTCTGAGTGCTCTCCCGTCGACTCCTGTACTCCACCGCCGCAAGAGGCGCAGGCAGAGTCAACGGGGGAGCGGCAGCAGACGACTCACCGCGGTGAAGACACCACGGTAAGTCAATCTAAGTACGTCGACTTCAGCTACGTTATTCACGTAGCTGAAGTTGCGTAATTTAGATCGATCTCTCCTCCTTCGCGCCCCCCGGCCCCCCTCCCCCCGTGTAGACCAGGCCCTGGATGGATTGTACTGACATATACATGAGGAGTCTGACTTTCCTTTCATGTTGGTGACACTTTGGTTGCTTGTCATGCCGTTAAAGTCTCATTGAAGTATGTGTGACAGAGCAAAAGAGAGAGAGAGAGAGAGAGAGAGAGTCTGCCCCCTACTGACAGGAATGTGTCAGACATTGTTATGTTTATTTCCATTCCCCTTGCTGGCTAACCTAGTGGAGTTCCAACTCAGCCAGTGAGGGGAGCCAGTATACTCTCACACATATAAGTGAGTCAATCATAATCAACTGGGGGGAGGCCTCCCCCCACACACACACACACCCCGTTTCTGAGAGAGGATGGAAAGAATCTGTCATCAATGGTGTCAGCTCAGCCCCAGCCATATAAACATCCACTTAATCATTTCTGAGCAAACAGGCTGGACCCCTTCCCAGCCTTGTCAGAGGGGCCTCCAAGAACTGAGCACAGCAAAGAAACATCCATTAATTCTGAAAACAAAAGGAGGAGTAATTGAATTTGTTCAGGCTTGTTCAACTGATTGAGTCATTAAAGCTCTCTCTCTCTCTCTCTCTCCCACACACACCACCCTTTGGCTGGAAGAAGCTGGATTACCTGTGGCAAAAGATGTCACGGATTCAGTAGATGCAAATATCCTGGACTTGACCAGTTATTTCCTTTTACCAACACATTTGCCCTGTTTGGTTTCTTGGGAATTTCTCCCTTTGTCTCGCCAGTTTCCTCTTTCTTCCTCATTGTCCATTTCCCTCTGTTTCTTATTCCCTCTTGTTCTCTCTGTCCCTTGTTGTCAGACATTAACAGGCTACTCCTCATTGCTGATGCGTTATTCATGCACTCTGATATTCCCCTGGGTAATTACTTAGACCACTGCAAAGAGGAAGGTATGAGAAAAGATTGCCAGAGCAGGCCTAGCAAATGAATTCTGGCAAGGAAAAGGAGGGGGAGAGGGGAGGAGAGGAAAGTGGGGTAGAAAAGAGAGAAAACAAGGGACCAAAGGACAGATGTGTGGAAAGCGAAAGGAAAGGGGGCAGGGAGAAGGTTGGGAGGTAGAGTTGGGAACTTGCTGGGGAGGGACTGTGTAAACACAAAGGAGAAAGAGAACACTGAGGTCTGGTCTACACTAGAAAATTAGGTCGTCATAACTACGTCGCTGAGGAGTGTGGAAAAATCCACACCCTTGAGCCATTTAGTTAAGCTGACCTAAGTCCCCCAGCACTAGGTCAAATTCTTCTGTCAAGCTAGCTGCTGCCTCTCAGGGAGGTGGAGTTCCTATACGATAGGAAAACCCTCCTGTCAGAATAGGTACTGTCTACAGTGAGGTGCCACAGTGGCACAGCTGTGTCACTGTAGCATTTTAAGTATAGAAAAGCCCAAAGATGGCACCATTGGACCCCTCTGTCATCAGCTCTACCGTCCTTCCCATTTCCCGCATGACTCCCATCCATGCACAACCCTGTGTCGTACGAGAAAGGTATCCTTTGGTTCTGAGGTGATGTTTCCAGATTTTGCCCGATTCTGATCCTTGCTTTTGCCACTCCTGCAGCCAGAAGAACTGACTAACATCTTGGAGATCAGCAATGTTGTGTTCACCAGCATGTTTGCCCTGGAGATGATCCTGAAACTCGCCGCGTTTGGCCTCTTTGATTACCTCCGCAATCCCTACAACATCTTCGACAGCATCATTGTCATCATCAGGTGATGACTCCAAAATAGGGAGACCAGGCAGGGAATACTGAGGTGCAGAAACAGAGAGGCAGATCAGTGCCTGAACTGTGTTGCTGTGCCATACCTGCTTCAGCTTTTTAATCAGTTAAAATATGAGAGAAAGCATGGTTAATGCACAAGGCAAAGAATCAGGAGATCTAAATTTTATTCCCAGCTCAAACACTGACTCACTGACCTTGCGCAAGTCATATAACCTTTCTGTGCCTCAGTTTTCCCCTCTGTAAAATGGGGATAATAATAGTTATCTACATCAGAAGTCTGTGAGGCTTAATTAATTGGTGCATGTAAAGCATTTTGAGATACTTGGATGAAAAATGCTGTAGAAGTGCGAAGTATTATAAAGGAGCTTTCCACCCTAGGTCCTTATGATGCAGCATTTGAAAACTCCTGAGTAGCTGAGCAGCACTTCAATTTTCCCCAGCAAGAAATGCAGTTTTACAGACATATACATACAAAATGTACACTGCATACACACACCTGATTCAGATTCTCTTTTACACATAGATTTTTGTGCACACACACACACTCACTCACTCACTCCCTACCAACACACACACTTGATTCACACAGAATTCTCTCTTTTACACTCTCTCGGTTCACACAGATTCTCTTTTACACACACAGACGCTGCATTGGTGAAAGAGTTCTCTCTCCCTCTCTCACTACCTCTGTCCTGTTTTCTACCACTCTCTTTCTTTGTCCCTTTCCATCTTTTTCTCTCCTTGTCCAACTTTCTCTCTCCTCCTTTGTGTCTCTGGGCCACAGCATCTGGGAGATCATTGGCCAGTCAGATGGGGGGCTGTCAGTGCTGAGAACTTTCCGCCTCCTGCGGGTGCTGAAGCTCGTGCGTTTCATGCCTGCTCTGCGACGCCAGCTGGTGGTGCTGATGAAGACCATGGACAATGTGGCCACCTTCTGTATGCTCCTTATGCTCTTCATCTTTATATTCAGGTGAGGAGGCGTTGTCTTCAGAGCAATTTGAGGAGGCATCGCAGGGCATATACAAACCCTGGCGCCAATCTCTTTGTGACTCAACCCGCCCAAGTCTTTACTTTAGACATCAAGAGGAACTTGGTTAGTTCTCAGAGACAGATCCTCAGCTGGTGTAAATTGACTGTATCAGCTGAGGATCTGGCCCTCAGGTGTTCACAAGTAGAGGCTTGGCCGGGGGTGGAGAAACTTTGCCAGCCAGGGAGTGTGCTGATCTGGATTTCCATTAGAAAGGGCGAATTCTGTCAGTGACCTGCTGTTCACTGCAGGGAATAGTCTGACTCCTCCCTTCCCCCTCCCCCCACTAACTATTACAGAATTGTGGTGTGGAGCACCTGGCAATATGTCACAGCACACAATGCAGATAAGCTAGAAGTGGGTGGAGACAGGCAATGGAACAAGAGAGAATGGTGGAGATAGCGGCCGTGGGGGCAGGACTGGATGGAGTAGCCAGAAGCTGGGGGTCTTGTTCCTTATGGTGGTGCAGGGGGAAGGAGAGGGTACATGAGGGGATGCAGGCTGATCAGTGTCTTGCCCTTCTTCATTGGTAGGTCTTGATGGGTTAGCTATATTTTTATATCCCTTACTCTGGTGACAAGTGGCAGCAGGTTGGATTATGAAAGAAAAAAGGGGAACCGCTCTAACAAGCTCATTTTGGTGGCAGAGATATTTAAATTGGACACCGTCTCCTCTTCCCCACCCAACAGCATCCTGGGAATGCACATCTTTGGGTGCAAATTCAGCCTCCGGACAGACACCGGAGACACTGTCCCTGACCGGAAGAATTTCGACTCCCTGCTCTGGGCCATCGTCACTGTGTTCCAGGTGAGTCCACACAGCTTCCATGGGCAGGCCAGACAATGGGATCGGAGGGGGATCTCAAAGTGAATTGGATCAGGAATTAGTTGTAGGTTTGTACAATTGAATGTTACACTCATTCCTGATGCCTCAAAAACCAACCCACGAGGCTCCAGCATGTGATGCTGAGAGAGGAGCGATAGGCACACACTGTAATCAAGCAGCTGACCTCTTTGCGACCTCCAAGGAGCAACAAGGCAATGGAAGGATGCGGTAGTTAGAAAGGTCAGAGCTGTGGGGGCAACTCCTGTGTTTAATGTTGTCGCCGTAGCGTGCACACTATGCTTGTGTGTGTTTGTCTCTTCCCTTTCGCCTGAGGTCTCTTGAGTTATTGCCATGGAGACAGCGAGAGAGATGGACCATGTTCACTGATGGCAATCATTAGGCACCTGGGGTGGGATGTTGGGAGAAGATGGGGGAGCCTCACTCTGCAATAGGCATGTGGTGGTCAGATGATTTTCCTCTCACTGCTCGTTATTGCAGCCTCCTTCCTCTGTAATCCCTTTCACTCTCACTTTGCTCTAGGGGCTCACGCTGCCTCTCTTCTGTCTTGCAGATCCTGACCCAGGAGGACTGGAATGTTGTGCTGTATAATGGCATGGCCTCCACCTCACCATGGGCATCCCTTTACTTTGTGGCCCTCATGACCTTTGGCAACTATGTCCTCTTCAATCTGCTGGTGGCTATCCTGGTGGAGGGCTTCCAGGCTGAGGTGAGTTGCCACTCCATGGAGGTGAGGTGCAGATGAGGGAGATGGCCTGAGGGGACGAGGAGGGGATCCCAAGTTATGACGTTCCAGTTATGACATTCCCTTTCCTCCACTGATATGGAGGAAGGGGTTAACAATTTCCACCCCATCCTATGCACCCTGCAAAGGTGACTCTGTCCCCCTCCATGGGCCAGGAGTTCAGCAACTAAGCACTTGCAGACCACACAGGGATTTCTCTATCATCTGTGGCAATGGACAATCAGAGGGAACAGAATCCTTTCCCCTGGGGGGCTCATGAATCACAGACCTTTGCTTTGATTTTTCCATTCCAGGGTGATGCCAACCGGTCGTACTCGGACGAAGATCAGAGTTCATCGAACATGGAGGAATTTGACAAATTCCTGGACAGCCGGGATGGCTCAGGTCAGTGGATCCTCCCACCTCGTTTGCTCTTGTCCTACCAGCAGCTGGGTGAAAAATGTAAATGTTCAAATCTCCCTAAAATCTCATTCCTCTTTCCAAGGTGGGACCAGAATGCTTTGGCCCTGCCTAAAGCACTTTCATGGCAATGCAGTTTTATGCAATTTTGTTTGTTTTAAAGTCATTGTCAGCTTGCAGTCACTTGCGAAAATTAGAGCCATGGCAAAATTCTGTAATGCTGTAGCTAAGAGAACAAATGTGATCCTTGGAGGGAGGGATAGCTCAGTGGTTTGAGCATTGGCCTGCTAAACCCAGGCTTGTGAGTTCAATCCTTGAGGGGGCCACTTAGGGATCTGGGGCCAAATCAGTGCTTGGTCCTGCTAGTGAAAGTAGGGGGCTGGACTTGATGACCTTTCAAGGTCCCTTCCAGTTCTAGGAGATAGGATATCTCCATTAATTATTATTATGGATAGCGAAGCAGGTAGGAGATATTGCATCAAGTAGGAGCAGGGAGGCATTACTACATCTGCATACAGCATAGGTGAGCCCATTGCTGGAATTCTGTGTCCAGTTCTGGTGTCTACACTTAAATTGGAAAGGATTCAGAGAAGAGCTACAAGAATGATTTGAGGTCTAGAAAACATGCCCCATAGTGAGAAAGGAAGGAAGCTAAATGATTTAGTTTATCCAAGAGAAGGTTAAGAGGTGACTTGATCATGGTCTACAAGTGTGTACAGAGGGAAAAGATTTCTGATGGTAGATGGCTCTTTAATCTAGCAGAAAAGGGCATAATGAGATCCAATGGGTGGAAGCTGAAGCTGTGGATAAATTCAGACTGAAATAAGGGGCACATTTCTAACAGTGAGGATAATTAACCATTGGCATAGGCACCAACTGTGTGGGTGCTCCGGGGCTGGAGGGGAAGCACTCACCGGGCAGAGGGGAAGTCGGCGCCTATGATGGCCTGTGTTATACAGGAGGTCAGACTAGGCGATCAAAACAGTTCCTTCTGGCCTTAATATCTATGAATCTAATAGAAAAGAGCAGCATATCACATTATTAAGAATATTTTGATTTCTTCTTTCTCCCATCTGTGCCTCTCCCTGGCACCCTGCAGGAGCAAATTTAAGCAGATTTGCTGGATCCTTAGGGTCTGTGAGCAGTGAGGGAGCCCAGTGCAGCAGTGAGTCAGTGAGAATTCAAAGCAGACTGGGAGGAGGAGTGTGTGCATGGGAATTTGGAGAAAGATAAAGGATTTCCAAGGAGGCCACAAAATTTTGGTGGATCTGGGCCCCAATGAGTCTCAATCCGCCCCTCAGTATCTCAGCCCAGCAAGTGGATCTGAGAAAAACAGGGAACATGCCTAAAATATTCAATGGCTGCTGGTCTCACAGTCGTAGCATTTGTTTCAGATGTGTGGATGACTGCCCCCTAATTCTAGCAAATGGGGGCACTGTCTCCCTCACGTGCTCCCAGGCAAGAGCCTCGCAGCGTGAGCCTGCAGGGAAAGCTATCTGATCGGCTCGCCACTGGCTCTGCCTGGCCTTAAGCAGAGCTCTCTTGTAGGCACACTCCCTGCTCTGGGTCCATTAGAGCGAAGGAGGCTGAGCAAGTGGACTCAGCTAGGTGAAAGCTGTTGTGTGAAACACCCTTCCCCCTCCAAAGCCAGAAGAGTGGGAATGCTGCCAGCACTGCCCAAAGGGGCAGGGAGAAGAGACAAGGAAGAGAAGATGCTAGGGGGTGGGTAGAGAGAAAGACAAGTTGCATCATCACTTTTGTTTTTCTGCACCCCACCTCGCCTCCTAGAGGTATGCCATTGAGAGGCAGAGGTAGTTCAAAGGACTCTGAGGAATCAGTGCACCTAGTGCTTGGGAGAGAGGCCATGGCCTCAAGTCCATCACTGTCCTGACCCACCCTATCCATACAACCAAAAGACAACAAGAAGCAGTGTTGGGTTCTAACAGGGCTAAACAAACTGAGCATTAAAACATTCACTGAATGGTGCAGGAGGAAACCGAGGAGGGGAAAGGAATATCTTTTTCTCTCTTTCTTTCTCTCTCTCTCTCTCTGTTTTTCTGCTCAGATCCCAGGCTCTGTGCAATTCCCATGACCCCAAATGGACACCTTGACCCCACCCTACCTTCTTCCAACCAGCCAGTGGCAGCTGGTGGGGTCACAAATTCCGCCCGGAATTCCCTGCAGCCAGACCAGATCCTCATTGCCCTGGGTTCCAGGAAGAGCAGTGTGATGTCACTGGGGAGAATGACCTACGACCAGAGGTCACTGGTGAGTGAGTAGAACCATGAGTAACATACTTCTTCTGAAACCCAGGGGATCCGTTGTCTCAGTGCCACCATCTTGGAATTCCATCAGGGGTCTACCCCTACTGGAAACTTACTAACAGAAGCTTGTTGCCTGTCCCCATTTAGCCTGAGGTGGTCGCAATTTCCAATTTCTCAATCCATATTCCACTATGACTGAGTGTAGGATTAAACTGCCTTGTTATCTCCTTGGAGTCTTCCCTCAAGAATGAAATGTGCATTGACCTCTTAGCCCTCCACTGTAGTTCTGGAGCACAGAGCATGGAATTATGGTGCCCTACCTCCTCGGTAACATAAAAAAAACATGGAGAGCTTCTGCCATTAGGTCCTCCTAACAGGTCCTCTACCTGGAGAAGTTTCTGGAGCCCTTAGTTCAGGTGAAAATCAAAACCTTGAGCTGCAGCACCCTTTCCTGTCCTAGGCCTGCCACCCCCATCTGTTCGTCCAGACAACCATCACTCACAGTTCTGCCAGTGCACTCCGATCCTGTCCTCTAGCACCCCTGTTAGTTCAGTCCTTGGGCGCCTCAACCACCAACACACACAGCTTTACTGGTGAACCTCAATCCTGATGTGCGGCATACCCTGCTATCCCAGCCCTTTGTTTCTCCTGAGCAGAGATGGCTGCCGGTAACAATTGGTGTTGAGATTTGGTGATGGGGAGGACTAGGCTGAGACCCTCAAACCCATATCTCTTGCTTTCTCCTCTCATTTAGATTGTAAACTCTTTGAGGCAAAGATTTTGGGCTGGGTTTATCCATCACCCTGTTCCTTGTGCACCAGTGCAAATTGCTACCTGCCTGATTTTGTACCACTTTCCACTGCTGTAAATGACTACACAAGCCCTTTGCTTTCTAACTTAGCTTATCTGTAAAGTGCCTGGCACACAGCTGGGGCTATAAAATAAATATGACAGTGACCAATTAAGAATTATTAATTAATAATAATAATAATTAATTTGATGCCAGATTTAGAGGTCACCTTTGAGTTCACAAAATGCCTCTCCTGGAGGGGTGGGAGAGCAGGGCTTTGTAATGTTGTATTAGGAGATTTAGGGGCCCCAAGGGTGAGTCTTTGATATAAACTGCTGAGACCCCATCTTCCCTGTGACCCGAGACACTGAATCCCTGTCTCCCTCTATTACAGTCTAGCTCTCGCAGTTCTCACTATGGTGCATGGGGCCGCAGCGGGGCCTGGGGGAGCCGTCGCTCCAGCTGGAACAGCCTGGCTCGGGGACACAGCCTAAAACACAAGCCTCCGTCTGCCGAGCATGAATCTCTGCTGTCTGGGGAAAGGCACAGGGTGGCGGATGTAGAACGAGAGGGGATGGGAAGGGCCCCTCATCACCGGCGAACGCTCTCCCTGGACACCAAAGATTCCTGTGATCTGGTGGAGCTGACGTCATCAGTCCCATCCAGTCACAGGGCAGCGCGGAAGGTGGGTGTGGCTCTGGGCACCAGCGAGCACCAGGACTGCAATGGCAAAATGCCCAATATCGCTAAAGAGATTTTCCCGAAGATGGACAACCGCAAGGAACGTGGAGAGGACGAGGAGGAGATAGACTATGTGAGTACAGGGGGCTTCACCAAAGGAGCACCAAGGGCTGACAAGGGGGACAGCAATCACAAGAGATGGGACGTGAGTTATGCCAGCCTGGGAGACGTTCGTGCTCAGGGCAAGAGCAGATTGTAGAATCCCTATGGGCTAGCCTGAGGTCTCTCGGAGCCTCAAGCAGAAGAAGACCAGAGTGCTGCTTCTTAGCCAGCCTCCAAGGCTCCGGTGCCCAGAACTGAAGAGATTACTGTGACACTCCAATGGGGTCAGGGGCAATGGAGATTTTAGCTGAAGTTTTCACTGTATAAAATGACATCACTAGGACTTCACTTAGGAGGAAAGATGCCAGTAGATGCCCATTCTGCCTTAGGCTCATTGGTTAGGCTGTGAACCCAGTACTCTAACTCCACTTTCCCTGAGGTTCGTGGGTAGTGCTGGTACAAAGATCCAGTGCGCGCTAGGCAGTGTCAGTGTCAGCGTTCCACAGCAGAGTACAGGCTAGCATCAGGTTCAGTTTTAAGGAGTCAGAAGTGAATCTTGATACTCTTCCTTCTGAGAGGAAAACAGGCTTATGGAATAGCCACCCCAATTAATTTTCCACCTGCCTCATCGCTCCCCCTGTAACTATGACATCAGCTCATTTTCTCATGTGGGGTCGGGGCAGAGAGGGCAGAGAGAGGAGGATATGGGGAGGTAATGTATCCAAGTTACTGGTATTTTAGGTTTAAAGAAAAAAGACAGATTGGACTTCTCAGTGAAGTGGGGAGGTGGCCAGTGACAACCCATTCCCTTGTGTCCTGCAGAGCCTGTGTTTCCGCATCCGGAAGATGATGGATGTCTACAAGCCAGACTGGTGTGAGATACGGGAGGATTGGTCCATCTACCTCTTCTCTCCACAAAACAGGTTCGTCCCAATATTGTCAGTGGAGGGGTGGTTTAGTATAATCCTGTTGCAGCAGCCATGTACGTGGGTTGGATGCTGAGTCTGCAGCTTTAAACTTTCAAGATGGGAACGATTTTGTTGCTTCCAGTCACAGCCTCTCCACCCAACTGTTGTTTGGTCCCTGAGGTGGGGGTAGAGAAGGGGAATCCTGAAAGGCTACTGTTGTTTTCCTTCCGAGGGAATGCTCCCTTTTTCTTCAGTGTAACTTAAGGCAAGGCAGAGAAGATAAAGAATGTATTATTAACTAATCTGTGCCATTGGCAATGTCTCTGGTGGCACAAGAGTGGGCCCCATTGCATTAGAGGCCACAAAGTTGACTTATTAGCAATCCTATCGCACTGTTTAGGCAAAGTTAGTATTCGCTGCACTTAACAAAATAAATATTAGAACTCCTCCTCCTTCCACCAGGAGGAAACAGTGTTTATCACCAGCTATCAGCATGCTGCACCACAGGGTAACAGCTCATGGAGACAAGAGGGTTTCATCATAACTGTTGGAAGATGAATCTTGGCTGCATGTGCTGATCTCCTACCTATTGTATTGGTTATGGCGGCGTTTAGAGAAGCTGGAGGGCTAATTCCTGTGGCAATAGAACTAGTCATCTATTTTCATGGCAGTGATTCCTCATCAGCCGGCAGCACAAGGGAGTGTGATGCCTAGAACACTCTGGTAATCCCAGTACAGGCATATCACGATAGGAAATTCTAAATTGGGGGAGAGGGGGGTCGGTTAAAGATTGTGACTCATCATCACCCTGTGGGAGCAGAGCTTAGAGAGGAAGGGTGGTGCGGTGCTTTGGGCATGTCTCGGGGCTTGGGAGACCGAGGTTCAATTCCTTGCTCCACCACAGATTTCCTCTGTGACTTTGGGTAAGTCACTTAGCCTCCCTGTGCCTCAGCTCCCCATCTGTAAAATGGGGATAACAGCTCTGCCCTACCTCACAGAGCTGTTGTGAGGAGAAATAAATAAATAAAAGTACTGTGGTGATGGGGGGGGGGCATATAAATAACTAGGATAGACAGACAGAGCTTAGGGGATAAGGTCCTTACAAATGCAGGTGGTTTTTCAGGAGGAGCTCTTTAGAGAATTATTACTTGCATTGAGGTAAGCTCAGTCATGGAGCAGGACCCTGTTGTGCTAGGTGCTGTACAAATATCGAACAAAAAGACGGTTCCTCCCTGAACAAACGTGTCTCCTTTCCAGTCTGGTAACGTGCACAACCGGGCAGCTGATTTTACACGAGCAAATGTTACATTTCAGGCAGAACTCTTACTCCCTCCCCTCTCTCCCCATCCCCTGCCATACCAAATTTAATTTCACCCCAGGCACGTGTCCTTTTGGAACTTTCTTGCAGGTTCCGCATCCTCTGCCAAACCATCATTGCTCACAAGCTGTTTGACTACGTTGTTCTGGCCTTCATCTTCCTGAACTGCATCACCATTGCCCTGGAGAGACCGCAGATCGAGCATCGGAGCACCGTGAGCAAACTTGCACCCTCAGCCTTTTTTGGCTGAACACAACCCCTGGACGGGTGTGGTGGACAAAGTTCATTAATTCTCTGGGCATTGCATAGGCTCTGGATAACTCCCAGCACTGGAGAGTAGCCCCCATCCCCCAAACACACCCCCCCCATGATTTCTCTGTATACAATAAGAGGCCTGCTTGCCTCCTTTTCAAGGCCTTAAAATAGTATAATCCTTCTTTCTCAGGAGTAGCTTCCTTTGTCATAGAAGGCAGAAGGGTCCCTCCAGGCCTCATGGTTGGGACGTGGCTTGCCAATGGGAGTCAAATAGCCAGGGACCATGAAACTAAAAGAGGGTGGTAACCTGGCTATGTAGCAGTGTCCCAGTGGGAATGGCATGCCAGGATTCAAATGTGCTGCTTCTGCATTGGCTTTGAATGTGGATCTGGGTGCTGTGGTTGGGGAGAGGCTGGTGTGCTTCAGTGGGTGAATATATTCTCGGTTCTCCTCAATTCATTCTTAACGGAGGTCACAGCTGACATGGCTTTTTGAGCGTCTTTGCTGAGTCCACATTGCCAAATGACACCACAGTTAGGCGAAGTCTGGGCTCAGGAGAGGTCCAAGAGTGGGGTGACAGGGCTGGGCTGCCAGTCAGCATCGTGTTGCATTGCAAGGTGATGAAAGGCTCCATAGCTGGATTAGCAGCAGATGCTGCAGATCACGATTGCAGTGCATTAGCAGAGCTGTGTGGGAGTTGCAAGATTGGAGTAGCTGGGAACACTGAAGGTCAGGACTGAGGTGCATTAGCTGAGACAGGTGGGATGAAGGTTGTTCAGCATGTGCCCTTGGCTGTAGCCAGTGCTCTCAGTTCCACCTTCACAAGACAGTGAAATTTGTCAAGTTCATAACAAAGGATTTAGTAAACTCACAGAAGTGTGGAAATGCCTCTCGGTGTTTTAGGGGCTTTTTTCTGTTCTTTCTAGGAGAGAATCTTTCTCACCGTATCCAACTACATTTTCACGGCAATCTTCGTAGCTGAGATGACACTAAAGGTAAGTCACCTGGAGACAGTCAGCCTTTTCCCATGTGCCATGGGCCCAACACATCTGCCTTCTACTCGTCCATCCATCCTCTACAGTCCATCCATCCTTTCAGTCTTCCAAGGAGGTCCACCCACTCCTTGTGAACTCTGTCATGGTAGGGGCATGTCCAGCCGTTGGGTTTGAATCTCATTTTCAGATTTGGATGCATGAAATTAAACACCTTTTAGACATGATTTAGTTGGGAATTGGTCCTGCTTTGAGCAGGGGGTTGGACTAGATGACCTCCTGAGGTCCCTTCCAACCCTGATATTCTATGATTCTATGATTCATCTAAACAACTGGCCTGGTTTTCAGAGGTGATGAGCATTCACAGATTCCATTGACTTCGGTAGCATCTGCTGGTGGTCAGCAGCTCTGAAAAGCAAACCACTTATTTAAGTGTCTGCATATGGATTTAGGTGCTTAATTTTACATACTCGAGTTTGAAAAATTTGGATTAAGTCATTTACATAAAGTCACCAGAAGAGTATGAATGAGCCCTTGTCTTCTGACTGCACGCACCTTGTCATATCCTCTGAACATCACCATCTCCCTCCAGCGTGGTAGTGCTCGAGGGAGTGGAGCAGATATTGGTTGAGAGGGGAGAGGACTTCATCAAAGCTTTGGTGGGTCTTTATTGTTTTTTCCAGAACATTTGCACTCCAGCATTTGATTTCTGTGCCATCCATATCTCCATTTTTACTTCACAGACTGTGGGTCTTTTCTGAGAAAGGCGATGAGTGTCATGGAAGGGAGAAAGATGGGTCCTCATTGCTTCTTTACCTGTTGCTATCGAGTTATTAAGTACCTTCCCCTCTGGATGGTGGAGAGTTTAACTCCCCGTGCTCTCCCTGCTCCTCTCCTGTAGGTGGTCTCTCTAGGCCTATATTTTGGGGAGCAGGCCTATCTCCGCAGCAGCTGGAACATCCTAGATGGCTTCTTGGTCTTTGTGTCCCTCATTGACATTGTGGTCTCAGTGGCCTCTGCTGGAGGAGCTAAAATTTTGGGGGTGCTCCGGGTCCTCCGACTGCTGCGCACCCTACGTCCTCTCAGGTGAGAACCCCATGGGCAAATTCCTAGCCTTCCATCCTCTCTCTCACTGTGTCCCTTCCTTTATCCACCCAGGAATGGCTCCCACACAGTGCCAGTATTAGAATGTGCTTTATGGAGAGACAAGGCATTGGCCAAGACCCCCGGGCTAAACCCCCGCCCCCCACACACACACATACATACACACGTTAGCGACCTGTTGGGCTGTGCATCAGAAAAGGGCTGAAGGAACATCCTACTAGGGACGAGAACGTTGTGTAGTGTCCTCTCCACTGGGATGTTTCTCTTAACTGTGCAGCTTCTCCTCCAGCCCCTAAGGTAGTCACTGCAGTATCCTCATTAGGTAACGCGCCCAAGTCCTGCTGTGAGGGACTCAAACCCATGGCGTTCAGGCCTACGGGAGAGCTCGCTATCCACTGGATGATAGCTGCACCATGATATCTGGGATGCCACTGTTGTCTGATTCTGAAAACACAGGGGAAGAAAGAACTCTGCCATCTCTCTGTGTCACCCCCTCACGCTCCGTCCCTTCCAGGGTCATCAGCCGTGCCCCAGGCCTGAAGCTGGTGGTGGAGACACTCATCTCATCCCTCAAACCCATTGGGAACATTGTCCTCATTTGCTGTGCCTTCTTTATCATCTTCGGCATCCTGGGCGTGCAGGTAGGGTTGTTGTTGTCTATCAAGCACCCACAACGTGCTCGACACTGTACTGCCAGGTAGGAAGCGTAATGCAGACACAGTTAAGCAGATGGAGTTGTGTCTGGGGGGAGGGCCAGGCATCTCAGGACACCTGCCTGATCCTCTGCCCCACTCCGTCCCCCTTTGTGTAGTTCTCATCATAATGATCCTTAAGCCTTTGGCAGTGGCAGGTGGGGTCAGTGCTGAGGTCTTTCAACAGTAGAGACTGATATTCAGATCACGGCATTAGCAGAGCTGTAGAGAAGGCCCAGGAGTGGAGTAGCAGCTGGGCATGCTGCAGGTCATGACTGTGATGCACTGACAGAGCAGTGTCAGTTGGAGCAGCCGCACAGGGGCCTGCGCGATGCCTGGCTCTAGGCAGTTCTTTCTCTCCCCTTCACTCCAAGCGCTAAATCCACCCACAATGTGGTGTGTGTCGGGGGCGGGGGGGCAGGCAGGGGGAGGTTAATCCTCCTTATTTTAGGCTTGTGCTGCAGAGGAGTGCTGGAGTGGGTGTTACTTCCATCTCAGAGAATGTGCTATACTTAGTCTGTATGCAGACTGTTCTGATGAGCCTGTACAAATGCGCAATCCAGTACCCTCCATATGGAAAAGGAGCCTGGGGCAGAAGAACCGCATCAGTGTCCCTTTATTTAAAAGTATCGGAGAAGCAGGCGATATTTTTCTGGGTCTTTGCTCTCACAAGAGATCTTTTTCCTTTCAGTACACTTAGCAGCCATCTGAGGGAGCGGATGGCTCTGGGGGATTGGGCAAGGGGCATTTCATCTCTAGGTCATTGGTTCCAATCCAGCCCCAGCAGGCCACCACATGGCTGTCAGACTGGGAGGACTTTCAGTCACTGCTGACCCAGGGCAAGATTATAATCAGTGACAAAGAGGCGAAAGGCTCCGCGTCCCACTCCTAATCTGAGGAGTTTCCTATTGCTCTTTGTCCCCTGACACTGAGGAAGTCTGAATGAGACTCACTGACCAAGTCACTTCCATCTCTTAGCTCTTCAAGGGGAAGTTCTACCACTGCCTCGGGGTTGACATCCGTAACATCACCAACAGGTCTGACTGTGTGGCCGCCAATTACAAGTGGGTACACCAAAAGTACAACTTTGACAACCTTGGACAGGTACGTGCGGGACCCTCCAAGCCCCTCCTCTCAGGTGAACCTGGGTTGTGCTTTGCCCCTTTGGGTCTCTCCCGCCAAGGCCACATTCACTCATTTTGAGGGGAAGGGTGGAGTGTTCCAGAACACACTCTGGGCCAGAGGCGGCAGTCATGTGAACGGGGGGTCGGGGGGCGGATGCTGGTTAGACATGGGTGTCCGGGTTAAAGCAGAGTAACTCGTGTAAGGATGCCGCTTCCATGCTGAAGGGGCGGAAAGGGGGATGTAACAGCTCAAGCAACTCACGTGAAGCCAGGGGATGGGGGGCAGGGGGCTGCTTTTCCTTACACTCTCCTAGGAGTGCCTCTTTTTGCTAGCCCCTGAGCTCCCTCAACATGTAACACCCGGTTCCTGACCCATGCTTAGGGGTGAATCCTGCCTTCACTTGCACAGGTGCACCTTCCATTGGTGTTGCATGTAAACGATTGCAGCTTTGAGTCCTTACGGCCTGATTCTCTGAGCAGGGTGTTAACTCGCTGACATCAGGGCAGTTAAAAAACAGTGAAAGGAGAATCAGGCCCTTCATAAGCAACTTACACCCCGTTTACATTGCTGGGGAGTTGGGCCAACGGTGTCTGTGCAATCTGCATGTCTGCAGTCCCCTTAGGTTCCACCATGGAAACGTCTGCAGGATTAGCAGAATCCTCCCTTCCTCTCTGCAGCCTCCCTACCAGTCCAGTCAGTGGAGTGCTGCCTTCTAAGGCAAGGGGCCAAGCCGAGCTCTCTGGTTTCTGAGCTGAGGCCCATGCATGCAAGTAGGGAGGCTTCCTCAAAGGCAGGGGTGGCCGGTGGGTGTTTTCTGATTGTGTTGGTTAGTTCTGCCATGGCTCTTGTAGATTTCGCCATGTCTCTGGCATTGATATATTTTCACAGACAAGCAGCAGGCATGTCGTGCTGGGGTTTTCTGTGTTTTAATTCGTCAGCCTGATGCAATAATTGCTGAGTTCATTTGTCTCTGGGGAGGGGGAACCTTTTACTCTGGTGCTTCCACAGAGCAGACTTGCATAAAGGTCCCTCTCTGCTGGCAGCTCCCCTCCCTCTCCCATCTGTTAGTAGTTGCAGATGACAAGTGCTTGGAGGATGACACCTTGAGTTTTAATTATGTTTTGTGCCTAAGAACTTAAAACCTGAACCATCCACACTCCACCGCACACAGATGCTCCGTGCCTGATGTGTTTCTGTTGTGTTCCAGGCCCTGATGTCCCTCTTCGTTCTGGCCTCCAAAGATGGTTGGGTCAATATTATGTATAATGGACTAGATGCTGTGGCTGTTGACCAGCAGGTATAGACACTTCCTTCCAAACTGATCATGCCATCTAGACCTCCTTCAGGCAGGAAGGTGGAAGCATGCTATATCAGCCAGCTTTTGGTACTTCCTCTCCACCCAATAGCATTTTATAGCATTGCTCTGATCCTCTCCCATCTGCAAGCCCCTTCTCTTCACTTTCGTTATTACTGGTGGGTCGGGGCCGTGGTTCTGCGTACGCAGGGAGGCGTGTTTGGAAGTGATTAGCCTGGTGGGCATTCATTGTAGCTCTTGTCCTTTATTCAGCTGGGGAAGTTGTGCAGGCTGGGTCCTTATGTATCCTGTGATATCTTCACAGCAGCAGTCGCCCATGTCTTTCTTGACATGGTGCACCCACCTGATTTACAGTTGGTTCCTCTAATTGCTTATAAACTGGGATTCTCTGTCCCTGCAACTAAGTCCCAACGGTGTCCAAAACTCATATTGACTTGAGTAGTGCAGGGTCAGGCCCCTGGTGAAGGCTGCAGCGACAGAGGACTGAATGGCCGTGAAGATACTACCCTTACCCTCTGTTCTCAGCACTAGAAGTGCTGTTGGTCTTTTAAAACCCTCAGTGGTGAGAAACCTAGAAACTCAAGCCCTCCTTTCTACTTGATCCTGACTGACACCTGGTTTCAGGCACCCCTCACCTTTCAGGGTTTCCCCCATTGCACCTTCGAGGTGCAATTTACTCACCCTCAGCCCAACACACCTTTTCTTCAGGTATCTTTAGTGTCTGTCATATTCTCTGACATTTTAATTGTCCATTTGATCTGTTGTTGTGATTATATTGCAATTGTAAGTGCAGCAGCCTGAGTGCTTTATTATTAATTATTATTATTATTATAAGCTTGTCCTTGACTTTCAGACACAGTCTATTTGTTGCGCCTACCCTCATTTTCATAATCCTTTCCCAACCAGACAGTCACAATCTGTTGATCTCCCTCATTTTCACAATCCTGCCACGTCCAGCCAATCACAACCTGCTGCTCTCCTTCATTTTCATAATCCCACCTCAGACTCCTAGTCAGCTAATCACAGCTTTTCTTTTCTTTTCTTTTCTTTTCTTTTCAGCCAGTGACCAACAACAACCCCTGGATGCTCCTTTACTTCATCTCGTTCCTCCTCATTGTCAGCTTCTTCGTACTCAACATGTTTGTGGGGGTGGTGGTGGAGAACTTCCACAAGTGCCGGCAGCACCAGGAGGCAGAGGAGGCACGCCGGCGGGAGGAGAAGCGCCTCAGGCGCCTGGAGAAGAAGCGCAGGAGTAAGGCACAGCCTAAGTGTTTGGTTGGTTCGTAGGCCAAGGTTTTCTGAGAAAAACCTCCTCCTCTTCTTCTTTTATTGTTTGACTGATTAGTTTCTCTATAAGAGCGTCTATGTCAATGCTCTCAGCACTGCTCTCCTTTTGGTGGGACACTGCTGCCAGGCTGCTGTATGCACCACCGGGCCTGACACCCCCAGCCAGCTACCCTCGAGCCAGAATCCCGGCAACAGAGGGAAGAGGTGACAGGGTGCCTGATGGCAACTGGGGGTGTTGGGGAAGGCACCTGTTTTCTTAACACCTTGCCTCTAGAAAATAACACATTCATAGAAGTGTGTGTGTGTGTGTGTGTGTGTGTGTGTGTGTGTGTGTGTATTCTCATCAACAGGGAACCTCCACCCAGACACACACACTCCAGCCCTCAGGGATTTAGACACTCCTTTGGAGAGCCCTGCAGCACCAGCCAGTGCTGTTGGGTGGACCCCTATGTGAATCCTTTCCTGTGTAATGCAAAATGAGGCAGGGAAGAAGAGGAAAAAATCCATGCGGTGTTCCTGGGCCTTTCTATTCCTGTGGCAGTTTCTCTCATTGGGTTCCAAGGCTTCCTTAGAACCAAGAGGGTCCCCCCACAGTGATGGTCCCCACGTGTCTGTTTCCTGTGCTCCAATGAGAGAAACATCACAGATGCACACTTGACCCTGGACCCTGGCAATCACCCCTGCTCCTTCCTACCCCTACCCCGGAGATCCTGGCTGATTACCCTCCTCCTTTCCAAGCCCATGGGCTTCCGTCTTCCTTCCCCTTCTTCAGTTTTTCCTCTCCCTGGTGCCACCTCTGGGTGTCTCCTGGAGCCATTTGCTCCTTTTTATCATTTGTGATCTTAATTTGTTGAGGGACGAAATGCTGATTTAGTGCCATTCCCACAAACATAGGACTAACAGATTCTTTCTATCGCTCCCACCTTCCCTCTCTTGTCTCCCCCTGCCTCCTCCTTCCTTTTACACTCTCTCTTTCCTCACCATTTCTGTTTTCTTTCTCTGCATTCTTTATTTTATTTGTCTCCTTTTTCTATCTGTTTCCTCTGCTTCTTCCTTCTCCATTCCTGTTTCTGTCTCTCCCTCCCTACCTTTCCATTGCTTCTATTCTTTCCCCCACTTTCCTTCCTAATTCCCTTTGTTTCTCTTCCCTCTCTCTTCTATCTTCTCTTTCTCTCTCTCTCCCCCCCCACTCCCATTGAAGAGGCGCAGCGCTTGCCGTATTATGCCACCTACTGCTCTGTCCGCCTCCTCATCCATTCGGTCTGCACCAGCCACTACTTGGACATCTTCATCACCTTCATCATCTGCCTCAACGTCGTCACCATGTCCCTGGAGCACTACAACCAGCCAGTGGTGAGTGAGTTCAAGGGACCAAACCCTGCCCCTACCTCCCTCTCTTTCTTTTCCCCATCTCATTTTCCATAACAAAAGAGACTTGACACTTTCCCTTCCAAGCAGTCAAACACATAAGGGGTCACTAGATTATAAGTAAAATTTAGCAGCCATTAGAGATTGACTTCGAAGAGCAGCATATCCCAGCATACTTTGCAGAGGGGGGTCAAATGGCAACCCAAAGGAAATCTCTATATATTCTGTAACCTTTTCTAACTTCTGTCTTCCTCAAACCTATCCTGTCTGCAATGCCTCCTCCCCACTCCTTATCCTGGCAATCCCACCTGCTCAAAACATTAGCCAGCGACTGATTGCGTAATTTCACTACAGCTGCCCATGTCATGATCCACCATGATAGATGGAAGAGGAGGGTCCCTGTGAAAACTGTCGTGCAAAATTCTGCAAGAGTTAACTCAGCTGTCAGGGTGATAGAGGGAGTTCTTTCCACTGTCATGTGGATGACCCAAGTTTAGCCTCGTGGCTTCTCTTTGTAGTTTCCCTTGGGCCCCAGCAGAGGGTGGCATACTGCCCCTGGGAGCTAGTGCTTTGCACTGCTAGATGGATCAGATTTCAGTTTCTCAGTAGCCAGCCCCGACCCTCAGTGGAGTGAGTTAGGAGTGCTACAGGGGCTGGCACACCCAGTCCTTGGATAGCTGAAGAGAGCCCCTCACCCAGCCACCCTCCTTCCACAAGAGAAGCAGTGTGGACAGACTCTGAAGAGAGTCCGACCTAGTTTCTCTCAGCTGGAAGAAGGGTGATCACAACAGAAGGTCTTGAGGGTTGTGAAAGATCAATATTTGGGGTGGGGGAGATTGGGAAATCCTCAATATTTGTTGACAGCGTTACAGACACATGCGGAAGGGAGGAAATATATGCTGAAAATGGGGCTTTCTCCCTCTCTCTGAAAGCACCACATTCACTGCTATGTCTGTCCAGAAGCATGCAGTTCCAGGAAGCCCTTAGTAAACTCCCGAGGGGTTTGAGGTGACAAACCTGATTTCATAGCTGTAGCTGGTTGTATTAGAAGTGACCAGGGCTGTGACTTGTCTATTGTTGCTCAGATTCACTGCCAAGTTTTTCCTCTAGGTCCAGCTTATCTTTCTTGTTGGCTGTTTAATTTTGTTACTGTTTATCCTGTGTTCCTGAACTGCCCCCTCATCTCCCCTGGGTTCCTCACAGTGTTCCCTATATCCCGTATTTGTTCTGCAAAAATTAGCATCCCTTATTCCTTCTCACCCACACATCACATCTTGGGCAAGTCAGTTAGCTTCCCCGTGCCTCAGTTTCTTCTTATCCCTGTGCAATAGGGATAAGCATACCCATTTCCTCACAGGCGTATGGTGAGGCTTCACTAATCAGTTCTTGCGAAGTGCTTTTAGATTTCCAGGTAAAAGGTGCTGTAGACATGCTACATACAATTAATAGAAACCCTCTGGTGACAGTGGCACCAATTCAGATATTTCTTTGGGGGAGGGCTAATTCCAGTCCCCGCCCCCTCCGGCAGGTCTCCTTCAGCCGGGTAGTCTCCCTTCTCTGTACAAAGGGGCACCCAGGTCAAATTTCAGTGATGCTGTGACCACGCAGCCAGAGCGACATTCGACTGCTCTGTACTGATTTATTATGGAGCCACTGCTTAAAAGGGAGCAGGCCAGGGCCTGTGATACTTTGAGTAAGTCTAAAAACTTTTTTGGGGGAGGCGGTATTCACCCCCACAGCCCTCCCTAGCTGGTGCCACTGTTGGTGGAGAACAGGGACCTCACACGGGAGAACCAGGGCAGCAGAGTAGAGGGCGGAATCTTGCTAAACCCCCGCCTAGTCCCCAACCAGAGACATGTGGTTTCCCCTTACTGCAGATAGCGATAGGTTATTTGCTCTGATGCACTCTCCCTGCCTGACGCATTCCCTGTAGATTTATGGAAGCCATTTATAGGGTAACACCTGGGTGATGTCCCATGAACCTGATGCTGCTGATGTCGGAGGTGCTGGGTGATGATGCTTTGTTAACCCTTTGCACACCACCGCCCTTCCCCAGGCCTGCCCATTCTCCTGAGCCATGACTGGGCAGAGCAGCAGGTATCCTGAGAGCCCCTTGGCATGGGAGTGCAGTGTGATGGCTGCTGCCCTTGGTAAGTCTGTGCCAGCCTTCAAGTAGTTGCAATCCAGGATTTGGCAGCTCCCTCCTGCCTCCACCATTCCTGACCAGTCAAGCAGGCTGGAACTCAGTGACTTCACAAGCACGTCTGTAGTTAATGCCTCTCACTCTCCACCTCTCTCAGCCTCTCTTTCCATCCACAGTCTCTTGAGACTGCCCTGAAGTACTGCAACTACATGTTCACCACAGTCTTTGTGCTGGAGGCGGTTCTGAAGCTGGTGGCGTTTGGACTGCGGCGATTCTTCAAAGACCGGTGAGCAGTAGGGCACGCAGGTCGTCTGGTGAGGCAGTGAAGTTTGGGGAGGGATCTGTATCTGCAGTGGAATCCTAGAGCATGGGGGCCTCAACTTCTTCCTTGTTCCAGGTAGCAAAGATCTTACTAGCTTCACCTTAAACACACTGGAGCGATAACCAGTTAATAAGAGTTATCCAACCTTTCCTCGTGTTGGAGTCTGCTGATTGGTCCAGGAAGCAGAGTAGACGGGAGTAGAATAAATGACATCCAGTCATATTAGGCTCTAACAGTCACAGCGAGGCCTCCGATTCACTGATTTGGAGGATTTTATTTTACTTTATATTTAAAATGTAATAAATTCACATTCCCCTGTCAGTCACACCGAAAAGCTCCATTCTTCCTTCTTTTTTTTTTTCTTTTAAGGTGGAACCAGCTGGACCTGGCCATTGTGCTGCTATCTGTCATGGGCATCACGCTGGAGGAGATTGAAATCAACGCAGCTCTCCCCATCAACCCCACTATCATCCGCATCATGAGGGTGCTGCGCATTGCCCGGGGTGAGAGAGACACTGGAGGGAGACGTGGGGCACAGACACCCCTGGGTGGGACAGAGTGCACTGGGGGCTGCCTGTGATGCCATTTCACCAATTGGCTTCTCATATCTAATCTTTGATGGCCATAGAAACTCAGGGCTTGATTACAAGAGCAGTTTTTCTGGAATAGCTATTCCAGATTAACTCCACGTGTGGACGCTCTTATTCTGGAATAAGAGTGCCTTAGGGCACGTCTTCACTACCCGCCGGATCGGCGGGTAGCAATCGATCTATTGGGGATCGACTTATCGCGTCTAATGAAGACGCGATAAAATCGATCCCTGATTGCTCTGCCGTCGACTCCGGAAATCCACCGCGGCAAGAGGCGGCAGCGGAGTCGACGGCGGTGCGGCAGCGGTCGACTTGCCGCCGTCTTCACAGCCAGGTAAGTCGACCTAAAATACGCAACTTCAGCTACGCTATTCACGTAGCTGAAGTTGCGTATCTTAGGTCGACCCCCCGCTGTAGTGTAGACCTAGCTTTATTCTGAATTAGCTTAATCCATTTTGGATTACATTTATTCAGAAAAGAGCACTCTTATTCCAGAATAAGAGCATCCACACATGGAGTTTAATCAGAAATAGTTAATCCACCACCTTATTCCTGATTGATTTTCATGTGTAGACAATCCCTTACGCTTTCTCCCGATTGCCCTCAACTTGACATTTAGACGCACCTTTGTCCAGGAAAGCGGTAGTGGCTTTCACTTTGTGAGAGGGACCAAAACGATTGGCAGATTTTGTGAGAAACAAATTCTTTCTTCTTTTCTTTTGTAATGCAAATGTTGCTGTAATTTTTACAGAAAAGACCAAGGGCCTATATGATTTGCACTGGGGAGGACAGATTTTCAGTGATGAGGGCAAATACTTGCCAAGCTGCATTTGCAAAAAGGAGACGGAGGAGGGAATGAAGCGGGTGTAGAAGGATATGGAATTGGAGTAGGAGAGATTGGTGATGTGTGGTGTTGGGAAAGGGAGAGCCAGTGTGCAGGATGTATGGGGATAGGATGGAAGGGACCAGAGTGGGCATGGAATGAGAGAGAAGGGGTCATTAGTATGCAGAGGAATGAGTTAGAATGGAAGGGACCATGTGGGGGGACATGGGGGTGGGGCATGGAAGGAAAATGGCCAGTTGGAGAAGGAGTGAGAGGTTGGTGGGTCAGTTTTACAGTGGAGGAGAGTGGCAGAACACCCACATGGTGTGCTCCTTCCAGTTGTCCTGGCATATTGGAAGCAGATTTCTCTCCCTTGAGTCCCAGCACTGAGTGACACTTTTGTTTTGGTTCTGGTACCAGTGCTGAAGCTGCTGAAGATGGCGACAGGGATGCGGGCGTTACTGGACACAGTTGTGCAAGCTCTGCCGCAGGTAAAAGAAACCAGCTACTAGAAAGATGCCCCTTTTGTGCACCAGTCTTTCCATTCGTTCATTTCCCTGAGCGCGCCTAGAATCAGAGAGACGGTGTCTGCTGAGGTCTTTAAGATAGTGGCACAATGTGCCAGAGGGTCGTGCTCATGTCGAAATGTCAACCACGTGGTTACATTCATTTCTTTCTGGCCTTGTCTGCTCACGACTTTATCCCCCCATGGTGTTACTGAATAAAGCAATGCTCCATTCCTGGGTGAGAGCTGCTTCCCTGCTTTATTTCTGGCTGCCCCTTCCCCCTTGCTGCTGTCACTTTCTTCACACTCATTTGCCATGAGGATGGAGAGCAAACCGTGGCCATTTTACGGAGAAAGCAGATGTTCAAGTATCTCTTCTGTGACCCTCTCGTTCTTACCTGTGATGGGTTGGATCACAGAAACCCCCTTGGGAGCTGCCACCCGATGTGCCAAGACTACCCCTGCTCCTGTTTTCCCTGCCAGCTCAGGACTCCAGCACCCTGTCTTGCTGAGCCAGACACTCCCGTCTGCTACAACACAGACCCAGGGTCTGAATCACTTGCCCCAAAGCTGCAAGTTTACCTGAAAACAGCTCACAGAAGTTTGCTTGTCTTTAGCACTCAGATGCCCATCTCCCAATGGGGTCTAAACCCAGATAAATCCGTTTTACCCTGCATAAAGCTTATGCAGAGTAAACTCATAAATTGTTCGCACTCTATAATACTGATAGAGAGATATGCACAGTTGTTTGCTCCCCCAGGTATTAATACATACTCTGAGTTAATTACTAAATAAAAAGTGATTTTATTAAATACAGACAGTAGGATTTAAGTGGTTCCAAGTAGTAACAGACAGAACAAAGTAAGTCACCAAGCAAAATAAAATAAAATGCGCAAATCTATGCCTAATCAAACTGAATACAGATAATCTCACCCTCAGAGATGCTTTAGTAAGTTTTTCTCAGACTGGACACCTTCCAGGCCTGGGCACAATTCTTTCCCCTGGTACAGCTCTTGTTCCAGCTCAGGTGATCGCTAGGGGATTCTTCATGATGGCTCCTCTCTCCCTCTCTGTTCTCTTCCACCCCTTTATATATCTTTTGCATAAGGCGGGAACCCTTTGTCCCTCTGGGTTTCCACCCCCCACCCCTCCCCGGAAAAGCACCAGGTTAAAGATGGATTCCAGTTCAGGTGACATGATCACATGTCACTGCAAGACTTCATTGCCCACTTGCCAGCACACACATATACAGGAAGACTAACAGGTAAACACAACCATCTGCAGACAATGGTCCTGGTTAATGGGAGTCATCAAGATTCCAAACCATCATTAATGGCCCACACTTTACATAATTACAATAGGCCCTCAGAGTTATATTTTATATTTCTAGTTTTAGATACAAGAGTGGTACATTTATACAAATCAGATGATCATACTCAGTAGATTATAAGCTTTGTAATGATACCTTACAAGAGACCTTTTGCATGAAGCATATCCCAGTTACGTTATATTCACTTATTACCATATTTTTTCTAAAACTATCCCAGTTACATTATATTCACTTATTATCATGTTTTTATAAAACCATATAGACTACACAACGTCACATTACCCACTTGTGCTCCCTTTCCACTGTTCTCTTCCATGCTGTGCTTGTTTCACCTCTGCCACCGCCTGCTTGCTTGCTTTCCATTTCCCTCTTCTCCTCCTTGGTCCGCAAATGATTTTGAGCCTCTCATCCCACGAGAAGCAGTGACGCTACCTGTGGTGGAGCATGCAGAGCATGCTGTAGAGCATGCAGCTAAATGCCTCCTGAAAGGCAGCTAGACGGAAGGATTTCACGAGCTGTGAGTGGCAGCTGTTTTGGAATGAGTTATTCATGCGCCACTTCATGCAGGCATCAGGCCCGCTGAGAGAAGCCCCCGTGATGGATGAGCAGCCAGAGAGACAGTTCTCTTCTCTTTTGGATCCTCCAGAGAGACATGTTAAGGAAGGAATAATGGCCCCAAGTAGCTCTATTGATTATAGATCAGATCATTCCTCTGGCAGGCCCAGAGCAGACAGTAATCTTATCTGATATCGAAATGCACAGGCATTTGTCAGCTGATTTATCAGGTAACACACCAGTGTTCGTGAATGGGGCTGGGCTGGAAATCAATCTGGGGACAGCACGAGCAGTTACACACGGAACTTAATTCTGAGATTTGTGTCACTAAACCGTGTCCATCTGAATTAAAGGAAATCACCTGGCACAAGAACGAGATGGAAACACAGTTTCCAGTCTTCACTGAATTCTGGGCTTCATCTGACTTCCCTCTATTTATTGAGATTATTTATTTATCACAGTAGCAGTGAGGGGCCCCAACTTAGACCAGGGCCCTATTGTGCTAGATGCTATAATGGAATCATAGAGATGTAGGGCTGGAAGGAACTTCGAGAGGCCATCCTGTCCAGTCCCGTGTGCTGAGGCAGGACCAAGGAAACGTAGAGAAACCCTGACAGGTGTCTGTCCAACCTGTTCTTAAAACCTTCCAATGACAGGGATTCTGCAAGCTTCCTTGGTAACCTGTTCCAGTTCTTAACTACCCTGATAGTTAGAAAGTTTTTCCATATATCTAACTTAAGTCTCCCTGCTGCAGATTAAGCTGATTACTAGTCCTTCAGTGGACATGGAGAACAAGTGGCCACTGTCCTCTTTATAACAGCCGTTAACATATTTGACAACTGTTATCAGGTCCCCCCCAGTCGTCTTTTCTCAAGACTAAACATGCCCAGTTTTTTTAACCTTTCCTCATGGGTCAGATTTTCTAAACCTTTTTATCGTTTTTGTATAATATGCAGAGTAAGAGACAGCCCCTGCCTCAAAGAGTTTACAGTCTAACTAAACAACGTCAGTTCTATTTTCTCCATTTTACAGATGGGGAAACTGAGCCACAGAGCTGCAGTAAGTTGCTTAGGGTCACTTAAGGATTCTGGGGCAGAGCTGAGAATTGAACCCAGATCTTCTGAATCCCAAGGCAGTACCTTGGTCACAAGGTCACCATTCTTCTATGCTTGATAAATCCTGGGTTTTTCACATTATTTCACCAAAGAACCTCACTGCTAAGCAAGAGTTCTTAATATCTGCCCCTGCACACACACAAACAACTATTAAAAGAAGGTGCCCCCTTGCAAAGAGTACTGGGTCCAGGAAATTCCAGTAGGAATTTCCGGCACTGAAGGAGTCTAGTCAGGACCTTCCTATCTGATGGCCCTTGATTCTGTAATAGGGATAGGTTGACTTCATTTAATAAAGTTACATTATGGAGGCATCAAAAATGACTCCACAGTCAAAATTGTGTTAAAATGTGCTCTTAAGGCAATACTAAAACCCCTCTGTTTCACATTTAAATGATTTAATTTAGTCTCTATATTTTACACACTAACTCTTCAGGGGACAATTGAATTATCCATAATACTATTTACTCCAGGATTTATTAACATTGGCAGAAGAAATATTTTAAAACAATCTCTCCTTTCCCTGGCACTCTCTTCTCCAGTCTAGACCTTTCTCTTTATATTATGGAGCACAGAGTCATCAATGATTTTGACTTGCTAATGGCATGGAAGGCTTCTCTGGCTGTCCTGTTTGAATCCCCTGCCTGTCTTTGTTACTCTGCAACCATTCTGAAAAGTGAATAAATATGTAATTTAAAAAAAAATACCTTTTGGAAATTTATCCCTGAGCATCTCAGCTTTTTTCAGCTCCCTGTGGCTAGAACCCTCTCCTCCCCCATTCAATGTGTACGCACAAGTGCACACACACACACACACATGTGCTGACATCTCACACACAGGAGGCTTTTTAAATTTTTAAATGTAACCAGACCAGAGTTACTCCCCTCCTTCATCAGCACCTTGCCTAGCTCAGCCCACAGAGCTACCAGCTGGCGTCAGCTACTTCCCTTTTCTGCTGCTGCCCAGTCTGCCTTCTGGACACACTGTCCTGTTCCTCACACTCCCCTCTGCAGACAACGGAGCCAAGAATAGGAGAGGCAAGCAGGGATATTGGGGAGGGATAACAGGGAAGTGCTTTCCCCTGTTACTGCTGGCACAGCTCCCGTGGTGCACCACACAGCAGCCCCATGGGAAGCCCTGCAAGTGCCAATAGCTGGGGGTATAGAAACTGGGCTCTCTCCCACAGGCTACCTGCTCCTTCCATTCCAAGCTCCTCACACACAGGCCTAGTTCCCTACTTGAGTCCCTGCAGTCTCTCTTCTCCCTTGTTCCCCTCCCACCACACACGTCAGGAGGGCCTGGTTCATTCCTTCTGCCCCCTGCCACAGGCCTACTCCCGTGGTGCTCGCTGATAGACCTGCTCTCACCCTCTTCTGCCCCCACATTTGACTAGTACCTTAACTCCCACAATGCACCAGGCAGCAGCACTGAGGGAGAGCTCGGCAGCTGGGGAGGGGGGCTCTCCGGGGTCAAATTTTACTCTCGACTCATACTTCGTCACGTGTGATAGGCTTCACGACACCATACGTGCCTACATGTGATTATCTTCATCTCTCTGGGCTTGAAGTCTGAGGGGTGGGATTGTGAGGAACTGGATGACCATCTATAGGCTACAAATGAAAGGAGCTGTGGTGGCTGTGAGTGGCTTTGAGGGTTATGATGTTTGGGTAAGAAGGCCTGGGGAGATGAGGTTGCTGTGAGCATGACTGGTGACTTCCTGGGTTCTGAGTGGTTGCGTGCATGAAGTTCCTAAAGGTTTCGGAGTGGAAATATTTGATGGTGTTCTGTTGCTGCTGCTTGAGTGATGCTATCTGGCTTGGCCTGGTGTTATTCAGTGTCACCTGGCTTGGCTTGGGTTAGGCTGATACGGTTCGGTTTGGTTTCAGGTGGGGAACCTCGGACTGCTCTTCATGCTCCTCTTTTTCATCTACGCTGCCCTAGGAGTGGAGCTCTTTGGGAAGCTGGGTAAGTTTCAAGCGTGCCATGCTCTTGGGTGAGCCACAGAATTGCAAAAGAAAAAAAAAATGTCAGTTTCCCATATTGCAGCAGGCCCTGTTCTGATTTAATGAAAAGGCTGGGTATTCTGATGACCTTTATCCTCCTCTCTGGGTATTTGCCGTGATAGGAATTTCCGTCTTTCAAAAAAACCTGTCTGAGAATGAGAGAGAGAGATGGCTTTCTCTCATTCTTAAATCTTTGCTTTCCATGCACTGCCTCAGCAAATCAGCCCCTGTCTGTCCCAGTGCCAGCCAAATGGCTACAGGGAAGACTCAGGAGAAATTCATGCACTCCTCTGGTCCATGCTGACATGTATCAATGGGCAAAACTTTCAGCCAAGTACATGAAGAGGGGCAGAAAATCTTCTTTCACACCAAGAGGATTAGGCCCTTGATCAAGTGACTACTGCTGGGTGTTCTGGGGGTAGCATTTTACCACTCTTACTAGTATGCCGAGTACGTCTAGCTCACTTGCACTTGCTATGCTGCTGACTGTAGCAGGTACACCCTCAAAATCCCTTCATTTTAATGGATGGTGCCAGCACAGCAAGCTTGCAGGCATGGATCGGCAGCCATGGGGTAAGGGAGAACTATGTTTTGGACTATTAAGCATGCTGGGAGACATCCCTGGGAAATGAGTTATGCTGATTGATATCCTGGGGTTGGGGTGATTATTCTGATACTGCTAGACAATGTCCAACCATTGGTCATTACTGTCATGGACCCAGCCCATGGGACTATAGACTGGAGCCACTGAGTGCAGACTTCTGGATGTGAAGCCAATAAACTCAGAGTGGAATGGTCACAGGGGGTCTTATTCTGAGTCCCTGGCACACTCTGAGAGCTAGGAACGTATCCATTGCACAGTTATAAATCCCTTCTTTTGCAGTGTGCAATGACGAGAACCCCTGTGAGGGCATGAGCCGCCATGCCACCTTTGAGAACTTTGGGATGGCCTTCCTCACGCTCTTCCAGGTCTCCACTGGCGACAACTGGAATGGAATCATGAAGGTAACATGGGCCTCCGAGAAGGAGAAATTCTACGCTGGAGTGGGAGGGATCAGCACTGCTTGGAACTGTCAGTGACTGGGACATGGATGGCCATGCCTAGGGGTTAGAGCGGGCGTCAGAACCGGAGTCAGAGGCCCAATGCCAGAGCCAAGGGTCACAGCTGGAGTCAGGAATCAGGGCCCAGGGTCAAAACTGGGTTACCTGGAGTGAGGCTAGGTAGGAGCAGGGCTGGGTCCAAGACAGAAGCTGTTGCAGCCAGGGACAAATACTTAAAGCAGCAGCTGCTGCTGGGTTTAAGAGCCGGTCTGCTGACTCTTCTAGTCAGTCAGACAGTGTAACCTATTAGAGAATCTAGAACAGGCCAGCTGCACTCACTGGGGGCCTGGAGACTGGATCTGTTGCAGGCCCTGTTTTCTGACAAGAACTGTTTTCACAGGAGCTAGATGATGGGGAAAGATAGCTCAGTGCTTTGAGCATTGGCCTACTAAACCCAGGGTTGTGAGTTCAATCCTTGAGGGGGCCATTTAGGGATCTGGGGCAAAAATCTGTCTGGGGATTGGTCCTGCTTTGAGCAGGGGGTTGGACTAGATGACCTCCTGAGGTCCCTTCCAACCCTGATACCAAAACAAAACAAAACAAAAAAGTAGATGTTGGCTTGCCAGTTCAGACCACTGGCCCATCTAGTCCAGTATCCTACCTCCTGCCAGACTAGATCAGACCATTGGCCCATCTAGTCTTGCAGGCAGCTGGTGGAGAGAAGTGCAAACTCTCTCCTCAAGGAGCAGGACAACAGTGTGGCCATGCTGAGAAGGGAGATTCACCGCCATCACCACCCTAGCCCCTTCTCCCAGGCTGAGTCGGAGGCGCATTTGGTATGACACACACCTGGAGCTGCAATGGGAATGGCTTGTGATTTAGAAACCTCAGGCAGATAAGTTTTCTCCCCTATGTTCAAATCATATTGCTCCAAATTAAATAGCTCACAGGGATTCAAGGGGGGGGGATGGACAATTCTTTGGACATGGGTAGTGTCTTTGGGAGATGAAGGGGATTAGGCACTTAGTTGCAGTGACTCTTGCTCACATTTGCAGATCTGGAAGGAATTTTCTCCCTAGGCCTATGGGGAAGAGGGCACCTGTTTCTGGAGCACTGAGCAGAGATTGTCAAATGTGATGGTCTTCCTGTGATTGCCGGGGGCACTGGGCACTGAGGATCCCATATGCTCAGACAGCACCTGGTATTGGAAGACCTTAGTCCTGCCTGGCATTGGATTCTGTGTTTTTTGACTGAGGGAGCAGCCAAATTTAAATTCTTACTCTAGTCCTTCTCTCCTTTTTCCCACCACTTCCTCTTACACCTGCCCTTTCCTCAAGGATACCCTGCGGGACTGCACCCATGATGACCGGAGTTGCCTCAGCAACCTGCAGTTCATCTCGCCACTCTACTTTGTCAGCTTCGTGCTCACAGCCCAGTTCGTTCTCATCAACGTGGTGGTAGCTGTGCTTATGAAACACCTCGACGACAGCAACAAGGAGGCGCAGGAAGATGCGGAAATGGATGCCGAGATTGAGCTTGAGATGGCACACGGGCTCTGCCCCCGCAGCGTGGGCTCCCCGAGCTCAGGACGGGGTGGAGGAGGTGGAGGAGGTGGGAGAGTGGACCCTGAAGGACATCTGTGCATGAGATGTTTCTCTCCAGCACAGGTGGGTAAACCTTTGTGCTTACCAGCAAGACTGCAGCAGGCTGGAGTGGGGAAAAGGAGGGCAGTCTAGATGATTTAGGGCTTAGTAATGGGATACAGACTGGTGACTGGTTTGCATTCAGGTCTAGCTTGGGTGAATTGGGTTGTGCCGGTGCATTGGTGGAGTTGTGTGGGGCCAGGACTGGAATAGCAAAGGGTGCAGGGAATACTACAGGACAGGTTGGAGGTGCATTGTCAGAGCTGTGCAGGAAGCTCAGGATTATGATAGGAGGGGTGCTGCAGGTCAAGATTAAGGTGCATTAGCAGAGTATTTTGTGTGGGGAGTTGAGGATTGGAATAGCAGGAGATGGTGCAGTACAGGAGTGAGGTGCATTGGCAGAGCTGGAAGGGAAGCTTACGCAGTGCCTGTCTGCACTGGCAACTAGTGATGTTAGTCCCTCCATTTCACATGAACACTAAAGCCTGGTCTAACTAAAAAGCTAAGTCAACCCAGCTTCATCGCTTAGGGGTGTGAAAAAACCACCCCCCTGAGCAATGTAGCTATGCCTAACTCCCGGCATAGACAATGCTAGGTTGATGGAAGAAGTCTTCCACAGACCAAGCTACCACCTCTTAGGCCTGGTCTACACTGGGAGGGGGGATCGATCTAAGTTACTCAATTTCAGCTACATGAATAATGTAGCTGAAGTCAACGTACTTAGATCGACTTACCGTGGTGTCTTCACCATAGTGAGATGACTGCTGCCGCTCCCCCGTCGACTCCACCCGTGCCTCTCGTGGCGGTGGAGTACAGGGGTCGACAGGAGAGCGCTTGGGGATCGATTTATTGCGTCTAGACTAGACGCAATAAATCGACCCCTATTGGTTCGATCGCTGCCCGCCAATCTGGCGGGTAGTGTAGACTTACCCTCAGGGAGGTGGGTTACCTACGCCAATGGGAGAACCCTCCTGTCAGCATAGGTAGTGTCTACATCAGGGGTTTTCAACCTTTTTTCATTTGTGGACCCCTACAAAATTTCAAATGGAAGCATGGACCTCTTTGGAAATCGTAGACATAGTCTGCAGATCCCCAGGGGTCCATGGACCACAGATTGTAATCCACTGGTGTACGCTGAAGCGCTGCAGTGGCACATCTGTAGTGTTTCAAGTGTAGACAAGCCCTACGTGCTGGATTCTGCCATCATCACTCACCTTAAGTGACACCTTGCGCCACGACCAGCCTCACTGACTTGAGCGAGGTTGCTCATAGAGTAAAGTGCTACTCCCTCTGAGTAAGGGTGGCAGAATCTGGCCCTAAATTCGCACAACACATTAAAGCAAAAAACTCTGGGTTCTTTAAATAATTTCTCCCATCCTCCCCCTTTCTTGTCCCCTAGGAGAACTTATGGCTGGACAGTGTCTCTTTAATTATTAAGGACTCCTTCGACGGGGAGTTAATGATCATCGATAACCTATCGGGCTCCGTCTTCCATCATTACTCCTCGCCGGCCATGTGCGAGAAGTGTAACCATGACAAGCAAGAGGTAACCTGCGTGCGAGGATGGGGAGGGAACCCCCCAATACACACACACATGCTCATACCCTTGAGGTTTCCCTGAGGAGAGCTCCATAGATTGTTTAGACAGAAGCTTCGACCTTTGTTACTACAGTGAATTTCTGATATTGGCCTGTCCTCCTAAGCAATGGGAGGCACGTATGTACTGGTGGAAAGCAGGAAGGAAAGGCAGATGTACCAGGAAGGATGACAGGAGAGAATGAACTAGAGGTGGAGATATCATTGCTGTGTATCAGTTTTTCACTTAAAGAAGAGATTTGTTTATGTGAAGGACACAGTGTATCGTCCCCAAATTTTCAGCACTCAGGGCCCAATTCTCAGAGCATTTAAGCCTATGCTTAACTTTAAGCATGTGCTTTCTGAAGTCCCATTGATGTCCATGGGAGTTAAGCACGTGGTTAAATGCTTTGATTAATTCGGGCCATAATCAGTGAGGAAAGATTGGATTTTCAAGTAAGTCTGTTAATTAGTGTGAGTTAAAATTAGGGCTGTTGATTAATCGCAGTTAACTCACACGATTAACTCAAAAAAATGAATCACGATTAAAAAAATTAATCGTGATTAATTGCAGTTTTAATCACACTGTTAAGCAATAGAATACCAAGTGAAATTTATTAAATATTTTTGGATGTTTTTCTACATTTTCAAATATATTGATTTCAATTACAACACAGAATACAAAGTCTACCGTGCTCACTTTATATTATTATGTTTATTACTAATATTTGCACTCTAAAAATGATAAACAAAAAAATAGTATTTTTCAAATCACCATATACAAGTACTGTAGTGCAATCTCTTTATCGTGAAAGTGCAACTTACAAATGTAGATTATTTTTGTTACATAACTGCATTCAAAAACAAAACAATGTAAAACTTTAGCGCCTACAAGTCCACTGAGTCCTGCTTCTTGTTCAGCCAATCGCTCAGACAAACAAGTTTGTTTACATTTACGGGACATAATGGTGCCTGCTTATTATTTACAATGTCACCTGAAAGTGAGAACAGGCGTTCACATGGCACTTTTGTAGCCAGCATTGCAAGGTATTTACGTGCCAGATATGCTAAACATTCATATGCTCCTTCATGCTTTGGCCACCATTCCTGAGGACACGCTTCCATGCTGATGACGCTTGTTAAAAAAATAATGTTTTAATTAAATTTGTGACTGAACTCTTTGGGGGAGAATTGTATGTCTCCTGCTCTGTTTTACCCGCATTCTGCCATATATTTCATATTATAGCAGGCTCGAATGATGGCCCAGCACATGTTGTTTCTTTTAAGAACACTTTCACTGCAGATTTGACAAAATACAAAGAAGGTACCAATGTGAGATTTCTAAAGATAGCTATAGCACTCGACCCAAGATTTAAGAATCCAAAGTGCCTTCCAAAATCTGAGAGGGATGAGGTGTGAAGAATGCTTTCTGAAGTCTTAAAAGAGCAACAGTCCGATGCGGAAACTACAGAACCCGAACCACCAAAAAAGAAAATCAACCTTCTGTTGGTGGCATCTGACTCAGATGATGAAAATGAACATGCGTCGGTCCGCACTGCTTTGTATGGTTATCGAGCAGAACCCGTCATCAGCATGGACGCATGTCCTCTGGAATGGTGGTTGAAGCACGAAGGGACATACGAATCTTTAGTGCTTTTGGCACGTAAATATCTTGCAATGCCAGCTACAACAGTGGCATGTGAATGCCTGTTCTCACTTTCAGGTGACATTGTAAACAAGAAGCAGGCAGCATTATCTCCTGCAAATGTAAGCAAACTTCTTTGTCTGAGCGATTGATGGAACAAGAAGTAGGACTGAGTGGACCTGTAGGCTCTAAAGCTTTATATTGTTTTATTTTTTAATGCAGGATTTTTTTTTTTACATAATTCTACATTTGTAAATTCAACTTTCTTGATAAAGAGATTTCACTACAGTACTTGCAATGGGGGAATTGAAAAATACTATTTCTTTTGTCTTTTACAGTGAAAATCAAAAATAAATATTAACTGAGCACTGCGCACTTTATGTTCTGTGTTGTAATTGAAATAAATATATCTGAAAATGTAGAAAACATCCAAAAATTTAAATAAAAGGTATTGTTGTTATTGTTATTGTATTATTGTTTAACAGCGCGATTAATTGTGATTAATTTTTTTAATCATGCGATTAATCGTGATTAATTTTTTAATCGCTTGACAGCCCTAGTTAAAATTAATTAAAAATTGGCCCATTAAGGAAGTTTTTGGGTCTCTTTTTTTTTGGAAGGGATCCTTCTAACTAAAAATGGCTTCTTATTAAAGATGGGAGTTTCAAAATCACATAAAGGACTTAGGAGCACAAGTCCCATGGACATTCCATGAAACTTGTGCTCCTAAATCACTTTTAGGTGGTTTTGAAAATCCTTCCCTAAACCTTTGGAATTTCCATTAAAACTCACTGAAAATGCTGAAAGAAATTAGGTTGTAATTAAGTAAAATTTTTAACAATTGTTGTACCTAACTGTTATGATTGTGGTTAGAGTTGTGTCAATAGCTCAGGTTATTCTTATATATTGTCAATGTGATATCAGCGGTAACACAACCAATCATCACCATTCCCTGTCTAGTTAATTTGCATTCTACAGTTTTATTGGTTGAAATGAGTTAGCAAAGTTAGAGTGTCAAGAGTTCTCATTGGTAGATTACTCTCTCCTCATAAAGAGAGCAATGGATTAGCTCCATGCCCCTGGATCCAAGGCACCAGGCCTTCTCCTCCCAGCCACAGCCTTCTCAATGAGTCTTCCTCAGAGGCAGCAATAGGCAGATGCTGCTATTCTTCTCCAATTGCTGAGTCTTCAAGCCCTCATCCACGGGGGGCATGTGGTGGTATACACAAGATTTTGATAAGTGACTAGTAATTTGGGGTGCTTGCATTTTTGGGTGCCCAACTCAAGGCCCTTCAAGGGGCCTGATATTTAGAGAGTGAGTGCTAAGCACTTTCTGTTAATCAGACCCATTTAAGGCATCCCAGGGTGGGCACCCAAAAAATGAGGCACCCAAAATCACTTGTTGCTTTTGAAAATCTTGGCCATAATCTTCAGCATCATGCATGGGGAGGCAGGTGGCAGGAGAATTTTCCCACCCTCTCATGCAAGAAGGTAGGCAGCAAAATCACCACACCACCACCAAGGGGTAGGGTGGCAGAATTTTCACAACCACAAAGGGTACTTGTGGTGGCATCTTCCCCCATGGTAACAAAACTTTAGAATCCAAGTCAAGGGAAAGGGAAAGTAATAGGGCTAAAGAGAAAGATGATGAATCATGGACTTTCATGAGCATCATTACTATGTATGTGCTGCTGTATGCAGCTGAATTATGGGTAGGTGACAACCAGCAGTAGCCTTGAGCACTCCCGCTAACCCTA